GCGACTATTTAAGCTTGTTGGATGTCCGTATCGGTCCGACTGAAGTGCGAAACCACGTATCTCCATTGCGGTGTTTCAAAATTTCCGTTCTTCATTCATCTCTTCCGTGAGAAACAATCCAAATTTACTCGCGACATTTCATTTTGAATCAAATCTTCTGCTATCGAATACGAAAAATCATGGAGAATTTAAATTTCATGTTGACCAGCTTCTCGAAAGAAAAATTAAATTTCTACGGAAGTCTGCAACGTCGCAAATGGAGAGACGTCGTCTCTCATTTTGCGCGAAAATATGCATGTATAAAATTGAAGGCATTATAACTGGCCTCTCTCAACTTATATTCGTTTGTAACGATAAACAATGGGACGCGCTTGCCACGGCGCCTTGATACAACTATACAACCTCGTTACAATAGTTGTATCTCTGCGCCTTGGCAAGACGATGGAAGCTTAATATTGAAGTAGCGTCTCCGCGTTGTTTTTCGGTTTTCCGGATGTTCCGCTACTGCAGTTTCGACCGTTTAGGCCGGAGTATAAGGGCGCTATAGCCACCGTTGAATTTCGCAAAAAGATACTTTTTTCAGAATAATTAAAAATTAAGAAGCAGGACTAATTTAACAAAATAATAAAAGGAATTGAAATCTACAATATAATGCAAAAAAATTGGAAAAGCTCGTCTTGTAGATACATAAGATTCGTAAACGCCTTCAATTAAAGCGTGATACCTCACGGGTTCCGGGGAGTTCAAATAGTTGTATCCCTGCGCCTTAGCAAGGCAATGGAAGTTAAATATTGAAGTAGCGTCCTCCCGTTGTTTTTCGGTTTTCCTGTGCCGCTACTGCAGTTTCGACCGTTTAGGCCGGAGTATAAGGGCGCTAAAGCCAGGATTGTATTTCGCAAAAAGATAATTTTTGCAGATTATTTAAAAATTAAGGAGCAGGAGAAATTTAACTAAATAATAAAAGGAATTCAAATCTATAATCTCGTCAAAGTGAAACTTTCAAGGAAAAATAGTAATAAATTTCGTTAAAATGAATGTTTCATAGGACGAAATTTGGAAACTTCCGGATGTTTATTCGTCGTTCTTCTTTAACACGGCAGTATTGGTAAGCAGTATGAAACAGAGCTCTGCATGGCGGCCGTTTTTGCTAATTCAAGGCATATTTTTCAGCTCCAGTAGCCAAGAATAATGTAAGTATCTTTGTATACTGCCGTGCTAAGAAGAAACGCCTTATGAACCTTCAGGCGTTGCCAAATTTCCTTTGATGAGCTGCGAATTTCCTGGTAAACTTATGATTATTTCCTCCCAATTTTTCAGATAATTTTGTTCACAATTTCACCTAAAGATTCTGAATATTTAAAAGAAAAATATTCATAACTTACCTCAAAAATAGTAATTTTATCGAAGAAAATTTGGCAACTCTCAAATTTTCATACGGCGTTTCTCCTTAGTACGGCAGTATACCCTCGGAACTTCGCACGACTCTAAATGGAGAGTTGCGTCTTGTTACAATTTATGGATACGCCATTTTAACCTTTCAAAGCGTAATTATGATACTTCCAAGTTAAACACGTTCCTGGAGTCTCTTTTAATAAAATAAAAAACAAGAAGTTTGATCGAAAAAACTGATATTATTGGTATCTATTTCATGGATGTCCTTGGAGTAAATTCTTACAAATCTTAAAAAAATATAGGTAAGAAGACAAAAACAAAATACCCACATGAAAAAACTAAGCAGAGAAATAAAATACAAAACAACGAGGTACCTAAGTGATAAAAAAAAAGAGAATTTGTAAGATCAGGAGGTAATTTTGATAAAAAATTTGAAGGACATAATTTTTGGCTATGATTGAATTTTTGGTTTTAAAATGATATGGTTACGGGTAGAAAATATTAGTCTAATTTATGAAAGTTAACAGGTGAAATTAAAGAAACACAATAATGGATGCAATAGTTGTTGAAATTTTCAAGACGAAAAAGTGAGATACGAAGTCGTCATTAGAGGATATAATGTGAGCCTCAATATATTTTCCATGGAATATGGCAAAGATCTCAAAATTTGCAATATTTGATGCAAAACTCTACTTCCACTAAAGGGAAGGGGCTTCCAATCCGTTTGAGACAGATTTTATTAGATTGTCTCTAGAACTCATCATCACTTACAAGTACTTATCTATATTGAGTTGTTTCAGTATAGCTTCCTTTCATTTTATTTATTTGTAGGAGCACTTTCATATTAATTTTCTTAAATTTTCCAATGATTAAATTTTCAAATAAATTCATGGGACAGTGCTCAAAATAGACTCAAATGGACAAATTGATGTTCCTTAAAAAACTTAAATAGCACAGACAAGATGAGAGAGAGACTTCGTGAGAGAGACAACAAACTGTCGCATCTAAAATACCGTACCTCCCTGGGATCAATTCCAAATTCCAAATTTGCTCCATTTAAAAGCGAATAAAAATAAATTATCAACATGGATGAGACTGCGAGTATCATCAATAAACAATGAGTATGAAAAAGGTTAATTTTAGTAGAGCTCTGTGGGACATAACTTAAAAAGAGTAAGAAAAATCAATTAGAAAATGTGGATGAAACATAATAAAATAAAACTTCATTCAACAATAACAGGGTAGTAAAATTAAAAACGAATAAAAATTAACATAAAACTAACAGACATGACATTTGTAAAATTATAATAACATATTACCAAATATTTTATCACATTCGAAACATCCTGGTGTTCATCAATGATTTTATCATGACAGGGTTAAATTAAAAATAAGCCATTTCCGAGACAAAGTAACATAACTACACTTTAGCAGTACAAAATTTCCTTTCACAATTTTGGTATTTTTATTAGGAAACCGTTGAGAATCTCTAACTGAACAATTTTTTTTTTAATTTTTTTTTTATTTTTTATTTTTTTTTTATCGTGTCATAGACAAAAATTAGCCAAATTTTAAACATAAATTGCACTGTTATAATCTTGTAAAAAAATGAGTTATTGTTCACATCAAACTGCCTTTAAGATGGCAGTTTGTTCCTTTGCCCAGGAAAGGACGAATAAAGCATGATTATGATAATAGTTGAGGTTGAGTTTCAGCAAAAAATTCCTTCTTTAGTACAAAAACATCTTATTTTAAAGAATAACCTTAAATTAAGGCAAAGTGATAAAGACTGCAGTAGAATAATTAGACACATTTTGTAACTCAAGAGGTGTCAGAAAATTATCAAAATATGCCTTGCTTCCTCGAAAACCTCTGAAACTATTTTAACGGCTGTGTGGGTAGAAAAGTTTGAATGGGGTTTTAACAAAAAGTTCAGTAAGTCTGTAAACAGCTCAGAAAAAAAATTTAAGCACCTTAAAATAAATTAATCTGCGCTTTGTTCATTTTTGAATGAGCTATTTGAAATGGTTTTATTTACCAAAGTAGTAGAGAAAATTCTATTCAGAGCGAACCACACCCACAAGCATGAATTAGCTCTTACAAGATAACAGAGAGTAAAATATTGACAAACGATGAAGAACCAAGAAACTTTGGTACATAAATAGATATTTGAAAGATCTGAGAAACAATACCATCTTAGTCTGATGTGCACACAATCCGAGAATGAGTTATAAGAGCATACTCTCATTTTCGAAGATTTTAGCAAACAGGTAAAAAACCTTGCACTGGAAAAAAAACACATTGGATCTAGAGTTCTGACTCTTAAAAACATCGAAAAGAAAAAATACTCTTGATTCAATCAGATTTAAGCTTAAATCAAGAACCAAGCCTCTTCATTTGAGCGGATTTCCTTTTGATTTAAGCTTAAATCTGATTGAATCAGGAGTCCTTTTTCTTGTCAATGTTTTCAAGAGTCTGGACTCTAGATCCAATGTGGTTTTTTTTTTCAGTGTGTGCTTTTTGAAAAATAAACCATATTGCTGTGCACCAAAACTTCTGAAAAATTATAAAATACAATATGACTGAAAATTTATACATTTTTAGCAAGTATGAATCCGAATCCTTAAAAGACACAAAAAGAATGGGTTGATTGAATTTAAACTCATGTTCCAGGAAGTCACTGAGAAAAAAGACTTCCGCCCACGAAAACTGAAAAACAAATTAATGATATGTACTGCCCTTGCAGATCACTGGACCATGGAGGGAAGCTCTATAAACATTTTAGGGCAAAAATGCGCAAATGTATCAAACTAAACTGGCATAATGGTAGTTTTAACATTCCAGTTCAAAAAATATAGCTCAGAAAAATATGGTATAATAAATATACTAACTTATATAACCATAACTTTTATTTTATGAGAGTTTGAAATCTGAAAATCCAGTTTCTGGGTTTAACTTGACAGTTCAAATAAATGCTCCTCAATGGATGAAGATACCTTTTTGTGGATGAGCACACATGATGAAAAAAAGTTAAACACTTTTCAATCGACTAGGAGGTAAAGCAGATGCTATTGCTTTGAAGAAAATTCGACAAATGAAATTTTCATACAATTGGCAATCATTAGAGAGTGAATGGCCGATTATTTTTTTCCTCTTTTTTTTGGGAGATTTACATTTTCTTCATAGGAGAAAGGTATAAATGTTGAGACTTCTCGAATTGAATATAGCTTGTTTTGGAGAGTGACCAACTGTCCAGCTCTGAAGAGTAAGAAAAAAAAAATTCCAGGAAATTGAATTCAGCCGGAAATTTTCGGTAAATGGAAAAAGTAATTGATGCATGTTATTCAGTTCTCAAAAACAGCCTAACGTTTTTGAACTTTGGAAAAGGACACTTTTTTAAACAAACAAGAATTCATGCCTAAAATTTGAAAGTAAACTTTTTTTAAAAAAAAGAAAAAAAGTTAGAGGTGTGTAAGACCCCTCAGAAATGTATTCTGTACTAAAATGATATCAGAGTTGGGCAGTTTTCAAAGGAACAACACATTCAGTATCCTGAGTCTTTTAAAACGTGGATTATGACCCAGAATCGCTCATTGGCACCCTTCTTCTCATACAAAGATCTACATAAACAATAATTTCCAGCCTAAGATACATTATTGTGCGTGAATAGCCTTAAATAGTACTTCATAATGCATAAAAATAGATTTACTGAATGACAGTATCACTGTAAAAAAGTTAGCGACAGCTTAATATGGCTACAAAGGTAAAATCGAAAAATAGTGTATTTTCTTCGGAAAACACGCTGAAAACTTTTAATAGAATGATGAATTTTGTGCGTAAAAATCAACATTTTCAATTTGTATTGTTTAAAGAATGGACTCTGGCAAAAAAATATTCTGCAAACATTTATTTGAGCTATGTTTGATGGGACACGAGAGTTATTTCCCTTTTTCCAATGCATTTTTAGTTTGATCATGATTTTAGATTTCATACTCATGACTACAGACTTTTTCTGTGAGTATTGATCTTAGAATCATGTTCAAATAATCAATGTTGCTGCATTTTTTTTAGAACTTTTACTCATTAAAGAGAGCTAAAACCATCGTTCAATCTCACTTACAAAAGCGTGATAGTTTTAAGAGGTAAAAATTATTTGATGTTAAAGAGAATCCATGGATTCTTTTTGCACAAATAGAGTATTATTATGAGATTCAGTCTTCAGATAATTTAGTTTAAAAGAGTCATAAACGTAAGTCAATAATGACAATATTTTAATTCAGAATAATGAAAGAGAAAAGATCAAAGTTCTGAAAGAGTACACTCAGCTCATGAGTTCCTTCATATACTATACATGTTGTAGGCAATAGTCAAATCAGGCATCAAATGTCAGGGCAGATAGTTAAATTTTAAAGGCTTGAATATTTGTATGTGTTTTTGACAAAATGGTCTCAAGTTTTTAATGTTTTGAAAGTAAGGATTCATCAAATCTAGGTACAATCTTTTCTTGAATTTTTGTCCTCTAATACTCCTTCTATATTTTGACTCTTGAGATTTCAAAGTTTCTGAATTTTAAGACATGCTGACAATTTTTATGTAAATGTTCGTATAAAAACTGGGAATAATTCATTTAGCTTTGTAAGTTGACAAATTTTATAGAGAATTCTGTCCTACAAGAGAAAAGAATTATTTGGTCTAAAGTTAGCAAAAGAATCAGAATTTCGACCAAAGTAAGAATATTTGACATTTTGCCTAGATATATGGCAAAATGCCTAATTTGACTATTTGTCTGCAACATACACATTAAGAAAATCATAATCGAAAATTTAGGCAGAGGAGACAAAAGAAAAGAGCTCCTCTTCAACTTACAGTACATATTGATGCAACGACTTTAGTAATTAGAGCCCTACAAGCCTTGAGGCCCTTTAAACCAAGAATTGCGGTCTTAGAGGTCAATAATGGGCAAGCAGATTAATTCGTAACATTTTCAGTGATTTTTGGTCAACTCTTTCCTTGATTCCTTTCCTATATTCCCTCTCTCATTTTGTTGGTTCCTGGTTGTACCCTTAGTTTCCTGGTCCATTCCAGCTTATGATCTTTGCAACCAGTCAAGTGTTATCTTCTTGCCCGTTTGTGACATCCATGAAGCCTAAAAATGGGAGCTAATCAGAAATAGATTCCATATGGCACTACTCTGAGTAAAAAAGGACTCTAAACAAGCCAAGACTCCAATAATTTGTGAACATTTTGCACAAGTTTTTTGCTTGCAGAATACATCAGATAGAAACCATTTTCAGAAACGAATTTTAGGTATAGATTGAAGCAGTCTTAATTTTAGTGATATGATTTTGTTTGATGAGCAGTGCCTGTTTAAGATACTATTAAAAAGCAAATAATTAAATTTATTCAAGGTTCCGCAAAAAACCTTATTAATCCTAGTTTGACATTCATGACTTGCCATCACGAAAAACTGATGTCATGTATGAATAGAGCAACGAGACCACAAAAAAATATCGTATTAAAATAGCTATCTGAGAGAGCAACATTTTCCTTATTTGTCTCTTCTTCTGAACATAAAGAGGACTCAATATATTTGCTTCCAATTTTGAGAAGTTGCATTTTTAGGAACACAATTTTTATGGCCAGTCATTGTGAATCAAAATCATGCTTCCAGATACTCCGTTCACATTGGAAGACTCGTCATCAACAGTAAGCTGAGTGCCAAAAAATCAGAAATCGAGGTAAAAGTTGAGTTTTGTCCTAGATACCAAGGACAGCATGCTGCAAAATGAGCTCAACCCCACCAAGAACGGATTAGTGCTTATAACATCCGAAAGATAGCATTACGGTACGTACCACAGCATGTGTGCAGCAAGATGTGAAAAACTCAAATTCAACTTTTTGGTACTCAGCCTATTATTGACGAGAAGTCTTCATTTGTTCTGACTTTTCTGATGATAATGAACAAAATTAATTTTGGAATGAGTATCATTTTTGAAATATTTTGAGAAAACTGCGGATTAATTAAAATTAAAAAAATATAAAAGTAAAAACCTTGAGATTAATCTCGCATGAATAGAATTTTTGAGAGAAAAAGTTTAGTTCTATACTAGGAGGTAAAACAAAACATTACACAGATCAGATCTAATAATTCCTGCAAACAATAATTCTCACTGAAATCAAGCAAAACAATAATTAGGACAATGATGAGGGAAACGGTAACAATAGATTCTAACCCTGTCCAACGGGCCATGTATTCCTAAAGTACCTAGGTACCATTTTAGAAAGCATTTTTAAAATTAGAAAATTCACAGTCAAACAACATTTTGCATATTCTCATACTCTTTGCGACACGCAGCGAATTTTTTCTCATAGACACAACTTAAAATCGTGGCTCCTAGAAGAAGTAAGGAACAGGGGAGAAATATAAAACTAATGTACGTTATATTTAGAGAGCTATCACTCACACTTTCCATATTCTCTAATTTACTGGGTTTCACCCATATAATTGCTAAGCAGGTGATTAAATTGGTTGGAAACCGGAACCAATTTGATACGGACGCTCGAAATTTTTCTGGGATTATTAGGCTTCGTATGTATGAAACAGCAGGGTAGTACATTCCTATTGAAAACTCATAGACCAGAAACAAAACAAAGCAAATTTGCTTGTCCCAACCATTCTGAATATTGAAAAAATTAACAGTAAAAATCAAGCAAATTCCTAAAATTACACAGGCAATTGAAAGAGTCAGTGATAGAAGTTTCTCAGGACTAAAAGACTTCGATAATAGATAAGCATAAACTTTTGGACCTATCATACAAGCCAACATGAAGCAGGAGAAAATTAAACCTAGAGAGTCGTTCAGTTCTTTGGAATTTTCTGTACTTAAAATAGGGGTCCATGCAAAGATAAATATGTACATGACACTTTCAAATAATGACTGGATGACACCTAGAACTAATAATTCTCTCCTATTCTTAGCAAGGATTAATCGAACGGACTCCTTCATGGATTTGAGAACTGAGGTGGTTTTTTCTGGTGTTTTTGTCATATTTTCTTTCCAAGTGCAAGCAATTAAGCAACCACCAAGAATTAAGAATATAATTGCAACACCAAAAGGCGCAACTGGTTTTAGATTCAGATGGTAAACCAAGATTTGAGAGAAAACCCCTGCAACAATTGCTAGAATGCTGTTGTAAAAAACTGCTTTAGTCAAAGTTATATTTAGCCATTCTGAAGGAAATCTATAATAGTTCAGGTGCTCATTTACATACCATGCTTCAAAGCTTGTGAACAAAATCGATGTTGCGATACCTCCAAAAATTCGTCCGATCATAAGGAGAAAAAAATTTTGAAAGAACTTAGTCATACAACAAACAGAGTAGAAAAAACTATACAATATACACATAGATTTTTTACCGTAAATGTCTGCAAAAGAGCCGACAAGAGTGCCAAAAATGGAACTTGAGATAAATCCACTTAGATATAAAATTGCAATCATTTGTTCATCAAAGCCATATGACTCATAAACTTTATAAATATAGGGACCTTGTAGCCAATCAGAAAAGGCTGCTAAACAATAGCCACAAAGGAATTTCAGTTGCAGCTGACTAAATTCACGATGTTTTGGACGATCGACCGTTTCCTTGGTGATTAAATGAAAAAGTAGACAGATGCAGACAAGAACTGCGATCGCAATGGTAAAAAACATTGTGATGTAGACCATTTTAATATTCAAGATAATTTTTCTTACAAGCGTAGGAAAGACGGACGTAAGTACTTACTGAAAAATTGAGAAAATAAAACTGGTAATCACCACTAAATATTTGATCCTGTTTCAGCCTTCCCTTGGGTTTCATTCAAAATCAATAACAGACTTGACCAATGATGAAAATATCACTTTCGACACAGGCAGTAGTCGTACAAAGCAATACAGCAGGATTGACATACATTACATATGGGCCAGAACTTTGCATCCGTAAAACGATTCCTGTGGAATGGAAAAAACGAAAAAAATTTGAATAAGGTTTTGCAGGTGAAAGATCAATAGGTATAAAATTATTAAAAGTACCTGCAGGTCAAGTACAAGGCACAGAAAAAGTCTTATTAGTTACTGAACCAAAGAGCCAAAAAACTTAAAAACGTTGAGTTGGACACTGCTATGTTGAACATGAAATAAAAACCAACAGAATTAAAAGAAATGAATTCACATTGCTTTGGTTTATTTTATTCTTCATTTCTTAGAAAAGAGACAATTGATGAGTAGAAACCTGTGAATTCACAGCAATTCCACCTTTTTGGATTCTTTCTTTCCAGGGCAATACTTAGTGCTTTCAGTGCATTGGCTCTACTCTGTACATGTTTACTAAATTCATGTTAGTAATCTAAGTGCATGTGAAAGTATGAGCCTCTCTCAGGATGTGATGTTCTTAAAGGTACCTCTTGGCTTTGATCACACTGCAAAAATATTAAATTCCCCCTCACATGATGTGAATGTTCATCATTGTATCATCTGAAACAAAAGTTGATGCTTTGCCAATTCAAGCGACACATGGCAATTGAAACTTACAAGAGACAAGTTGGCCTTGAACTCATGCTCTGACTTGCATAAATACATAGATACTATTATGTAGACAGCAAGATTGTTTCACAAGAGGGAAGACAACTTTTCTTACATTGATAGTCCATGGCCTTAAAAGCGCCAACTTTTCCATTAAAGGAAATTAGTTTCTTTACCTTCTGTAATCATATTTCCTCACGACACATAAATAAGAGGAGACCAATTTTTTAAAAACGAAATTCTGAAGGTTCCAATGCAACAAGTAATTTCTCATTTTCAGAAACTTACAAACAATACCTGATTGAAGGAAAAAATATAATAGTTTGTGCTGTGTTCACAATAAGGTAGATAAAACAATTGGAAAATAGGTATTTTCTATGAAATGTTTGACTGGTTATTTTATAGTACCATCAGTGTCATCAAATCGCTATAAGCTCCTGTTCAAATCATCAAACTGTAGACACATTATTTCATTCATTTTGGTATCCACTTGCAGATGCAATTTTTATGAGTTCAATCTATGGAAGTACTTGCAGGAAGGCGAAAAATAAGTGTATACGTATTGTTAGCCGATTTATACCTGAACCATTAGGACTATATGGGATAAGTTTCTGCTATGTCTTCAGAAAAATTCCCATCAACTGCAAGATAATCTCTTGAAAGTTTAAAATCCTGAAAATACCTGCCTGATATATAGTGGTATACCTACATTAAAGTTTTGAGAGACGTTTAATGGATAGAGCTAAAGAATGGGACAAGAACTTTTCTTCACACATGCATAGTCATTGGAAAAAAATCTAATAAGCCTCGACTCTCAGTATTTTAATGAGATCAGAAGCTTAGTTGCTGGCTCACAAAATTTTCAGTATTTCCTAGGAAATCATTTAAATTTTTCCGCAATGCTGATGCTCTTAACCATGAACGAGTCAAAGCACAACAAATTGGACAAAATGAGACTGTGTTGTTTCAAAACGAGATTAAAGGCAAAGCCATGTGACAGCTAATGAAAAACGTGAAGTTTGTACTTCCAAATCAGATTGGATAACACGCTGTGGAGTGTAGAGGGTAAAAATAAGTTTAATTGAATTCTTACATAACGATGGTGGGTTCAAAGCTCCAAGATTTGGGGGGCACTGGAGTTCACCCACTAACAGTCTTCTAAGCAGCTCCTCAGGTCCGGATTACAGAAAAAACACATCAAAGAGTAGAATCAGCAAAATGTACCATCAGAAAATGGGTGCTCCTTGACCTCTTTCTGCTTTCTAAGTAATGGAAAAACACAGCTTGAGTGCACTGAGGTAAAATCTTTAAATCATGAAATATCACAGACACAATTAGAAACGATTAATATATTAAAGTTTTCATCGAAATATAAAATAAATTTGTGATAAAAAAGTAAAGGGTGCACAACAGTTGTTCATGCTCACTGATAAGCAGCTACGGCGGAACCGCAGTACATGTAAAATTAATATGTATAATTGGTTGAAGTGGAGGTCGTCTGCGGTCTGATAAGACTACAATAAACTAAGAAACAAGTAAGAGAATTACAAATTCAAATAAAACGAATACAAAAAGATAAACAGTATCAAGGGAGAGACTTTTGTTTACATTTTCTCAGGGTCCAAACTTCAAGAAAAAAACCAATCATCGTCTCGTCACAACGAACACACCATTCACCGTTGGTTTTTGGTTAGTGGCGGGCATTTCGAAAACTTCAACTGGTCAATAGAGTCAACATTTGACCGTAGTTGATATGATTTGATATATTTATGAGCGCGTTACATATCTGTTAAATCTTGCCTGCGGTATTTTTAAAGATTTTCTCCAAATTTATGTCTCCAGAAATCACGAAAAATTCAATAATATTTGACCATTATCAATTTCTCTTCTCTGTTTGCCCTACCTTGAATTATTCTCACCAGCGATTCCATGTTGGATTCCTCTTTGAAAGAAGTATTAATTTTTTTAGTTTCAAATTTTGAAATACATTTTTGGTGGGGAAACCTTTATTAAAAGAATGAAGAGTTTGTGTGAGCTCTTTGTGTAAAAATGCTACACTATTTTCTTTTCTTTTTTATTGCCAGTAAACCATAGGTACCTACCTATACGATTTTATCTCCTCCTTTAAACCCTTACGAACCACAATAACTTGCATCCAGTGAAATTCGGTCAATTTTAGCTGTGGATTTCGTCATCCAAAATTTAAGCCCACTCACAGCGACGCTCCTTCCCTCCTTTCAAAAGACAAAAAAAAAAACCCTGGAAACGTCTGCATACAACGAGAGATGTGTGAATAGAATTACTCAAAAATAATAGTGCAAGAAAAAAAGATCGACGACTAACTCCTCCCAAATTAATCATACAAATTAAGGAATCAGATAGTGCGAGTGGTCGTCGTCATCGCCATGGGTATTCATCTGAAATTAGAATTCCCTCCGATAAAGTTCCTTCAAACACGAAAGATGCAACGCAGTATGCATCACTGTCGGTTGGCTATATTCGAGGAATCTGCAGCGAACAAAACAAGTGAACGCGTTCAGTCCATCTGTTTTCTGCAACCGACCTGCCTTACGGTAACAGATTCGTTTTTAATTTATGTTTTTCCTATTTAAACCTCTATTTTTTTTTCTTTTATGGAGCCACCGTTAAAAATCTTTTAAGTTAGTTTCGGAAATTATTTTCAAGGTAATATAAAAAACAGTAGGAGAGGAGGGAATGAGCTGTGTACGGAAGGTGAGATAATGTAGATACGAACGTATTTTATAAGGATTAATATTATCGATCAAGAAAATAAAAAGCGTGCCCGAGAGTTGAAAAAAAGAGTTGCAAATTGAAATAAGTATGTAACGCGATCATCGGCTCGCGATTGAAGATGAATCAGTTGCTAAAATTGCAGCGATATGCAAAATTATTACCTGGTTGATAGTATTCAATTTCAATTGTCTTGAACTTCGAAGATTGATGCTCGGAATATTTCTAAAGAAAATGATGCGTCATATAGTGCCTCTTTTTTCTCGTCCTAGAAGAGAGCTTATTTTGTATGAAAACTTCAAAAGAGTGGACAGAGACTGAGACAAATGGAAGAGGCACGCTCAGTTCCTAGCAAATGACCGCTATTTTGAGGATTTCTAGAATGCATCAATTGCTTAATAAAAACAGGCACTTATTCACGATCTATCTTCTTGGAAAATTTCAGAACGCTAATTTTTGGATTTTAGGATGGTATGACCAGTCATTTACATCAAATATAATTTCATCTCGAGATGAAAAACACCCTCTTATTCACAACCAGGACTTTCATTTTGAGCTCACCCCGAAGGTCAATTGCGTTAGTCACAGAGCCGCATTTTGATGGTTTAAGCTTGAATATAGAGTCGCAAAAAATAATAGGATCTGAAGGTCTAGTTTTTACTTTCAGTATTAATGGAGAAATCGTCATTCGGAAAGCACGGGACGTCATTGTCATCCACCAGGATGGTACATACCTTACATTTATAGCAAAATTATTCAAAAATATGCACTGTCGTCCTTCGCACCCAATACATGCTTTGGCTCGACCAATTAACGCTGTGCGATTCTGTTGGTCGATATCGTCGACTTGGTTCTCGAACGCAGTTTCAGCGCATAGGCAACAAATCGACGGTGTAAGTCGGCAATCACATAACTCGGTTTGCGACGTTGCAGACTTCCTGTCGTACTTTATTTTTAAAACGGAAAACTACTCCACGGCAATCCTACAGAACTGCAGTGATTTTTCTTCTCTGTGCGAAGAAAATTCTACATAAATTTCAAGGAATGATGTCAATTTGTTCTCATTTAAAAAAATAAAATAGAGGCGGAGATTTTCAGACAGAGCAAACGAGTTATGTGATTGCCGACTTACACCGTCGAAATATACCTGAAAGTGCGAAGAATTATATATAGACGATGTTGGTCCGCAGCCACATATTTCATTTGAGGTGATTGAAAATTTCCGCTCCTATCTTGTTTTTATCAAAGAGGAACAAATCGTCATTATTCCTTGAAGTTTCCACAGAGTTTTCGTCGCGCGAAGAGTAAGAATCACGGCAGTTTTTGGAAATTCTCACTGAGTGGTTTTTCATTTGAAAAATGAAGTATGACAGGAAGTCTGCAACGTCGCAAACCGAGATACGTGGTTTCAGAATTACACCATATATATTTTAAAAAATGGTCAGTTACCTCTCATTGCTTTAGGTATACTCTTATTACTCTGTACTTATTTTATTTTGCATAACTTTCTTTTCAACTCTTGAGGTGTTCAACTCTTTCTGAAGAGGTGTTGCTCAGATTTGGGATAAATGTTGAAAAACGAGGCCCGATTGCATCTCCTCGGATGTGTTGCTCACGTACTGCCGTGATAGTGAAGAGAGCAGTAAGTGCAAAAATGAAGTTTTGAGAAAACGGACTCAGAAGCTTCTGACCGAAAAATGTTATTGAAATATGCCTCCGTTCTTTGTCAAATTGCCACTAATCATCCGAAAGACTCCTACGAGTGGAAATCGTTTGGATGATTAAAAATCGACCGATTTTATTTCGATATTGCATAAAAAGGATTTTTTTTTTCATTTTCATGCTAGGTTATAGTTAGGCGAGACAGCCGTAAGTGCCATCTTTGCATTGCGTGATTTCGTGGTCGCGTTCTGGACACACATCACACACAAATTCAGGTTAGAAATTGGCAGAAGAGGGCGGCACTTTACTGGAAAACATTAGCTGTTTCATCAGCTCTCTGGAGGAATATTGTCACTTACTGCTGTCTTGCCTAAAATTGCGTCATTTTTTGCGCACTTGCGGCTTTCATATATGTCTCGTTTTGATACAATTAAGATGAGTTTTGCTGTTTTAGTAATTCAATGATTTCATCTAAAAGCGTTTAGACAAATTTTGAAGGAAACTTGATTTCGAAAATTTGACACTTACTGCTCTTTTCGCTATCACTACAGTGTGGTCCTTAAAGCACCTTTACAAATGGGACAAACAGAAACAGACACAATATGGAAATAGAGCGAAGGAAATAAGGCACGTTGATGACGGCGCAGAGATACAATTATTCGTGCTTGATGGATGCCCGTGGTGCATCTGCGAAATTGAAGGCGCGATGGCGCTAAGCTTGAACTCGCAATGCACGCTCTATGCTGACAATAAGGTGTTGCTCAGATTCGGAAGAAAAGTAAAAAGCGAGTCCCGAATACGTCTCTCCTATCTCCGGCTCTGTTGCTTGCGTAGCCTTAATACACCACTACAAATAAGACCAACGGAACCAAAAACAACATGGAATGGAGCGAAGAAAAGGATGCGCGTTAGACGGCGTAGAGATACAACTATTCGTACTTAATGGATGCCCGTGGTGCATCTGCAAAATTGAAGGCGCGATGGCGCTAAGCTTGAACTCGCAATGCACGCTCTATGCTGGCAATGAGGTGTTGCTCAGATTCAGTAAAGTAAAAGTCGAGTCCCGAATGAGTCTCTCCTATCTCCGACTATGTTGAAACTCGCTTTTCTTGTGTTTTTCTTTGAAGTCTGTTTGTCGCTGCAAAATCGAACGTTTCCCCAAACTTTCTCGCCCTAGATATGATCAACTTTAATCGGGAACCAAAAACCAGGAATGAGGAAGTCGGAAGCGGAGGAAACATGCGGCATTGTAACGAGGACATGTGTTATTGAATCCTCTGTGTACAACGGAACCCTAACTTATTTTTCGACAGGAATCAAGAAGAAGTTCAAATGAGCCCTGAAACACTACTATTCCTATGTATCTGAGGGATCCTTTCAAAATGAACTTGTTCGCTTTTTTTAAAAAATAAAAATAAAAATGTGGGCTCAACGATGGGGCGGGGCTGGGTGGTGGCGGCGGTCGGCATTGCAACCCTACTAAACATTATCCTTTTACTTCGCCGAGGCATCGAATTAGGTTGCCAAATCGAGCTTAAAATTACTGAGTTTTAACCAGATAAATATTATCACGGTCTAGCACATCAATAAAAATACTGGACGAAACGAGAGAAGGTGGGTCATTTTAGGTTGCTTATTTTAGAATCGTGTTTTGGTGGTTGAATCCCAAATAATAACAAAATCTAGTATGTCTGTCTAACGGCAGATTCTCTCATTAATTAATATTAATGGGAAAATTGCTCATCGACAAACACGATAGACATAGTCAAATTACGTATTTGTACCGTGAAACAGAAAACACGTAGTAGCGGAACCATACTGCCTCATTCCTGAAGAGAGTCCAAAAAAGGAAGTATCGAGAAACTGGACATAGAGCATAGTTTAGCTAAAAATTGTATTGACTAAGTCCTCCATGTTTTGTAAAATTTTCAACGATCGCATCTATATGATTATGATTAATCATTGAAGTGGTTAAGAATCGACGTACTTCATCGCCTTTGTTGATGAAAAAGGATTTATTTATTTCGTGTTTTAATTCCATGATATTAATTGGAATGGGCAAAAATTACCACTGAATAAATACGAGACACTTTTAGACTGCGACAGAAGATCCGCCGTCTTGGTTCTTCCATTCACTTTATGTGTAAAAGTATGACGTCAGACGATCCGTCGCAGTCTAGAGGGGTGTGCATGTATTTTG